TTAATCAGATAAGGCAAAAAAGAAAAAAGAATTATCGTCTCTGAAATGTAGAATGGAACAAATCGTTTCAGTGCACTGTAAATAGTATGCTTTTTTCGTAACAACAACTGGGGTCATGAATACTGCAGTTATTGTTTCTTAATTTATTATTAAATGCGGTATTTCGTATGATTTTTAAATATATTAACAAGCACAAATGGGCATGACATAGTGGCAATTAGCGCTGCTGTCGCGCCAAAGATTGTGGGTTCGACTTTACCAGCACCACATCCATTCGTCCTAGCACTCGATCATTCGTTTCGGTGGTAAATTGGTACAGACATATGCCAGGGAATCAAAATTTCCATCAGCTTGCATTTAAGTAGCTTGTGAAAGAAAGAAAAGACTCCTGTCGTCCTCACCAGTAAGTGTTTCTCTTGCTTGTGCTTTACACTTCCTGTTTATGAGTGCCTTGGGCTTTCATGGGGGTGCTTACGGAGATGGGTTTTGGTTTTTGACACTGACAATATTTCACGTTAAATAGTAAAAAATAGAAAAAATAAAGCATTTGTAAAGAGCAAGAGAAATAATGCACGCTTGTTTAGTACAGCCATTTTGGCTTTGTCAATCAAACCGGCAGGGGAGGGGAACTGATTTTTCGCAGCATAGCTTTGCTTCAGGTACTTATCAAGTCTTTATAAATTGCCAACAGTTAACTGGCACTGGAAACGTCTTCATCCAAAGCCGCCACCAGCTGGTCAGCCGGCTCCATGTGGCCGAATGGGACATTCATTTGTTCTTGCGCCCAACAAGGTCATTTTCTAGCAAGAGATTATTTTCAGACGTTTACGTTACTTTGCTCGTTTGTCCAGGAGTTGTTGTTGTTGTTGTTATTAGTGACTTGTGATTTCAGCTTGCATATCTCTTCGGTGGTACAGTAATAGATCGGATGTGCGGCCCACGCTTCTTTAATGACTTATATGTGCTGGATTTGAACAAGCCAAGTGACCAGTTGCAGTGGCAGATCCCGGAAGTGAGTTACAGGATGCTTTTTTTTT